ACTGTTCTATTACCGGAAACCTTTCTCTATAATCCCCCTCTCCACTGTTCTATTTCACCTTTCTCTACAAATTGTCACTGTTGTATTACCCCTACCTTTCTCTTTCTATCATCCCCCTCTCCACTGTTCTATTACCCCTACCTTTCTCTACCCTATCATCCCCCTCTCCACTGTTCCATTACTCCTACCTTCCTCTACCCTATCATCCTCCCTGTTCACTGTTCTATTACCCCTACCTTCTCTACCCTATCACCCCTCCCTGTCCACTGTTCTATCACCCCTACCTTTCTCTACCCTATCATCCCCCTGTCCACTGTTCTATTACCCCTACCTTTCTCTACCCTATCATCCCCCCTGTCCACTGTTCTATTATCCCTACCTTTCTCTACCTTTCTCTACCCTATCATCCCCCCTGTCCACTGTTCTATTACCCCTACCTTTCTCTACCCTATCATCCCCCTGTCCACTGTTCTATTACCCAAACCTTTCTCTACCCTATCATCCCCCTGTCCACTTTTCTATTACCCCTACCTTCTCTCTATCCCCCTGTCCACTGTTCTATCTATCTATCATCCCCCTGTCCACTGTTCTATTACCCCTATCTACTCTATCATCCCCCTCTACTGTTCTATTACCCTCTACTCTATCATCCCCCTTTCCACTGTTCCATTACCCCTACATTTCTCTACTCTATCATCCCCCATTCCACTGTTCCATTACCCCTACCTCCCCCCTTCTATTACCCTCTCTATTACCCCTACCCTCTCATCCCCCCTGTCCACTGTTCCATTACCCCTACCTTTCTCTACCCTATCATCCCCCTGTCCACTGTTCTATTACCCCTACCTTTCTCTACCCTATCATCCCCCTGTCCACTGTTCTCATCCCCCTGTCCACTGTTCTATTACCCCTACCTTTCTCTACCCTATCATCCCCCCTGTCCATTGTTCTATTACCCCTACCTTTCTCTACCCTATCATCCCCCCTGTCCATTGTTCTATTACCCCTACCTTTCTCTACCCTATCATCCCCCTGTCCACTGTTCTATTACCCCTACCTTTCTCTACCCTATCATCCCCCCTGTCCACTGTTCTATTACCCCTACCTTTCTCTACCCTATCATCCCCCTGTCCACTGTTCTATTACCCCTACCTTTCTCTACCCTATCATCCCCCTGTCCACTGTTCTATTACCCCTACCTTTCTCTACCCTATCATCCCCCTGTCCACTGTTCTATTACCCCTACCTTTCTCTACCCTATCATCCCCCCTGTCCACTGTTCTATTACCCCTACCTTTCTCTACCCTATCATCCCCCTGTCCACTGTTCTATTACCCCTACCTTTCTCTACCCTATCATCCCCCTGTCCACTGTTCTATTACCCCTACCTTTCTCTACCCTATCATCCCCCCTGTCCACTGTTCTATTACCCCTACCTTTCTCTACCCTATCATCCCCCTGTCCACTGTTCTATTAGCCCTACCTTTCTCTACCCTATCATCCCCCTGTCCACTGTTCTATTACCCCTACCTTTCTCTACCCTATCATCCCCCTGTCCACTGTTCTATTACCCCTACCTTTCTCTACTCTATCATCCCCCTGTCCACTGTTCTATTACCCCTATCTTTCTCTACCCTATCTCTACCCTATCATCCCCCTGTCCACTGTTCTATTACCCCTACCTTTCTCTCCCCTATCATCCCCCCTGTCCACTGTTCTATTACCCCTACCTTTCTCTACCCTATCATCCCCCTGTCCACTGTTCTATTACCCCTACCTTTCTCTACCCTATCATCCCCCCTGTCCACTGTTCTATTACCCCTACCTTTCTCTACCCTATCATCCCCCCTGTCCACTGTTCTATTACCCCTACCTTTCTCTACCCTATCATCCCCCTGTCCACTGTTCTATTACCCCTACCTTTCTCTACCCTATCATCCCCCTGTCCACTGTTCTATTACCTCTACCTTTCTCTACCCTATCATCCCCCTGTCCACTGTTCTATTACCCCTACCTTTCTCTACCCTATCATCCCCCTGTCCACTGTTCTATTACCCCTATCTTTCTCTACCCTATCATCCCCCTGTCCACTGTTCTATTACCCCTACCTTTCTCTACCCTATCATCCCCCCTGTCCACTGTTCTATTACCCCTACCTTTCTCTACCCTATCATCCCCCTGTCCACTGTTCTATTACCCCTACCTTTCTCTACCCTATCATCCCCCTGTCCACTGTTCTATTTCCCCTACCTTTCTCTACTCTATCATCCCCCTGTCCACTGTTCTATTACCTCTACCTTTCTCTACCCTATCATCCCCCTGTCCACTGTTCTATTACCCCTACCTTTCTCTACCCTATCATCCCCCTGTCCACTGTTCTATTACCCCTACCTTTCTCTACCCTATCATCCCCCTGTCCACTGTTCTATTACCCCTACCTTTCTCTACCCTATTCCCCCTCCACTGTTCTATTACCCCTACCTTTCTGTCCACTGTTCTATTACCCCTACCTTTCTATCATCATCCCCCTCTCCACTGTTCTATTACCCCTATCTTTCTCTACCCTATCATCCCCTTCTCCACTGTTCTATTACCCCTACCTTTCTCTACTCTATCATCCCCCTCTCCACTGTTCTATTACCCCTACCTTTCTCTACCCTATCATCCCCCTGTCCACTGTTCTATTACCCCTACCTTTCTCTACCCTATCATCCCCCCTGTCCACTGTTATATTACCCCTACCTTTCTCTACCCTATCATCCCCCTGTCCACTGTTCTATTACCCCTACCTTCCTCTACCCTATCATCCCCCTGTCCACTGTTCTATTACTCCTACCTTCCTCTACCCTATCATCCACCTCTCCACTGTTCTATTACCCCTACCTTTCTCTACCCTATCACCCCCCTGTCCACTGTTCTATTAGCCCTACCTTTCTCTACCCTATCATCCCCCTGTCCACTGTTCTATAACCCCTACCTTTCTCTACCCTCATATCATCCCCCCTGTCCACTGTTCTATTACCCCTACCTTTCTCTACCCTATCATCCCCCTGTCCACTGTTACCCCTATTACCCCTACCTTTCTCTACCCTATCATCCCCCTGTCCACTGTTCTATTACCCCTACCTTTCTCTACCCTATCATCCCCCTCTCCACTGTTCTATTACCCCTACCTTCCTCTACCCTATCATCCCCCTGTCCACTGTTATATTACCCTTACCTTTCTCTACCCTATCATCCCCCTGTCCACTGTTATATTACCCCTACCTTTCTCTACCCTATCATCCCCCTGTCCACTGTTCTATTACCCCTACCTTTCTCTACCCTATCATCCCCCTGTCCACTGTTCTATTACCCCTACCTTTCTCTACCCTATCATCCCCCTGTCCACTGTTCTATAACCCCTACCTTTCTCTACCCTATCACCTCCCTGTCCACTGTTCTATTACCCCTACCTTTCTCTACCCTATCATCCCCCTGTCCACTGTTCTATTAGCCCTACCTTTCTCTACTCTATTGTATCTATTCTTACTTATATACAGCCCTTCCCCTAACCCTACCCCCTCTGTCGTGAGGACAATCCGCTTTCCTCTCTAAGGCAAACGAACCATTATATTGACAGAAATATCGTAAAAACGTACATCACATCGATAGCCCACTAATCCTGTTATCGGTGATACTATCCATTTTTTCTTCTTTTTTTCTAAAACCAATTGAGAAAATCGATTAATGGGTCGATATCTCGTCATTATGTTTCGTGTGTCTTCCAGCCGTCTACCTATAGGGAAGAGTAAACGCTGTTTAATTAGTTCGCAATTCCATACCAACATTTTCAGGTATAAGATAATTAGGTTTAAGGCAAACTAGCAATGTTTCATTAGTTTTGTGTTTGAACCGAGTAATCAATATTTATGAATGTTACGTGCAAATGTCTGTTACCATTTGACGGGGGCAAATCAAAGTGTGCAGTTATAATCATCGATGATCATGGCCGTAAGACTCGGAGAGTTATCTGGACTGGGTATTTACATTAGAGCGTATAAACAATTGGCTTCCCCCAGGGAAATGTATGAGCTAGCCTTACCTACCTGTACACTGTACACACACGAGTACACAGCGAGGCAGAATTATAATAAACCCAATTTTATGTGATTATCTGTCTCCACACAGCAGTGACACACGTTATCGACTGGAGTTTCGTTATCACCATCGCTAGTAATCATTATAGAAGAGAAGGCATATGAGTACAGCTTTTACCAAAGCTTATATAAAAATAACTAACACACCAACGTAACGATCTATTAAAAAAATCTTTTATAATATCGCTACGAAAAACAACATTCAGAGCTATTATGTGGTGATAATGTATTATTGTGATTAGCATAATTTGTAGGATTACATTTGATGATAATGCGAGAACCGGTAGTGTTGTTTTGGGGTCCTTCTTACGAAAAGAAGCAAGCACTTAGCATATGAATGGCAAACTACCTTGTTGGTGTTGATGTTGAAATACGATATATACGGGTATAATCGTGTTATATTTCTGTATATAAGTTTACCCTGTAGGCTAAAGGGCCCCTTATGTTGATGGAAAACCCTACTTCCTGTGTAAGGCTAGAGGAAGTACACACTCTGTGGCACACACTTGCCTCACACCACAGTGATGCTGTACCACCGACTCCCCCGTAATACTAAGCCGATAATCTTGTCCATCAAACACATGCTCTATTCAATGATGTGTTCACATCCACACGTGAAATCTAACCCGTTCTCAGCTTCTGTTCACTCCATGATAAGAATACTGAATGACATATTCACATTTCTCCCCCAATAGATCTCACCCCTGCTACTACTAATGTGATGCACGCTGCCCCGGCATTGAGTCGCTCCACATAAAAACAAATGCATCACACTAAATGAATATTCCTCAACATTTACACAGGTTAAGATGTCACCATGCCGATTTGGAGGTGCATACATATGTGTGTATATGTACTTACCAATAAATCCTGTTAGATTTGGTGTCTCCCTATACATTAGTAATGTTCCATTGGGCTAGCTATTCCGGCTAGGATGGTCACGTTATTTACAAACGTACCACACAAATCGCATGATACTCCAGGCATACATCACAGAAATATCACAGAAATTGACACGAATGTCTTAATTTTTAAATCCATATCATAAAAAATGGGTTACAGATGCAACAACATGGACCTGGACTCCGCCACCATTCACTTGAATTCAGCATCCACATCTAAACACATAGACTTATGCATAAATCATCCTCGACATCAAAACGAGGCTTGTCGTCTGCTTAGCGCGTGGATGCTGCTGTGAGGAAGTATAATGCTAGTCTTCGTGTCATGAATGAAAAGAATTAGTTTCCGTTGAATATTTGTAATTACGATATTTTCTAGTTCACAGATGCGACAACAGATAACACAGTAAGCATGTTGTCGAAAGGGGGCAGGTTACCAGCTATCTGACATACGATTCATTATTCATGTGCAGCGTATCTAGGATGACACAGAACTCATTATGTTCACGCTACGATCGATAGGCTCATGGCAGACTCAGCGTTTATTCAGCCAGATAGTTTAATGTTCAAACGATTGATAGGAATCTCTTCCCTTTCATTCTTTCTCCTTTCGTTCCCTCTGATCTAATTACACTTGTCCAGCCGTCGCTGTTATATTTTTTAATCGGTATACATTATACATAAAGTCTACTTACGATTGTACTATGTTTTAAAACCTTTCTCGCTTTGTTGATCTACACACATCTAATGGACCTTATCTAGGAAACATTACACAAAACAACATATCATTTAAATCCCTGCATGTTTTTATACCCATTGTTGTCCTTATGTATGTAGATTTTTTCACCTCCGTAACACCTGCTAATCTGTCATTCTTATTCGCAGTCGATTCCTCAAGGTTTTTGCGCTTTCCATTCCTTCGTTTCTTTTGTAGTAATGTTTTAATATATATGAGTACGAGAATTTGGTACCGTATCTATTAATATTTCAATTATTTCACAAATTTCTTTTGTAATGTTTGTTGTTTCTGAAATCATGAATTAAATTCTGTTGATTACATATGATAATTAGTGTATGTGTTAAAAACTAGATCGATCAATGCGAAGTCCATGCTTTTCCATATTTCGTTTGAATTTTTGTTTTCAAAAGAGTAGAAATTCGCATATACGTGACTTTTGCCGAATTTTAAAACCCTGTTAAGTATTTGAGAGAATTGTGAATGGAATTGGCAAGCAATATCTGAAAATCGATGTCACAAGGAGTTCTACAATCATTCTGGCAATTAGATTTGAAACCTTTTCTCCTTCAAATATCGCTTAATATACAGGAACTAAGGGTGTAAATATGCCCCGTGGTCATAGATGACCTTCAGAGTGGGCGTGTTTTATCAGAATCTGCCTCAGTGTTCCACACAGGGTATGCTAACTGTTATACTGTTCTGGTGTCTGGGTGATATCGTTCTTTAACGATTTCACTTCAACACAGAACTTTCCATTATCAATAATGAGGTCCGAGCGACGTGAAAAAAAAAATATATAAAACTATTTCACATTGATTCTGCATCGTATTTTTGCAGAGATTTTCATCGGATTTTGCAGTTGTATCTCATTGTGTTTCCTTGTGTAGTATAATTTGCCATTCTGTGTAATGCTGTGTAGTATAATTTGCCATTCTGTGTAATGCTGTGTAGTATAATTCGCCATTCTGTGTTATGTTGTATAGTATAATTTGCCATTCTGTGTTATGTTGTGTAGTATAATTTGCCATTCTGTGTAATGCTGTGTAGTATAATTTACCATTCTGTGTTATGTTGTGTAGTATAATTTGCCATTCTGTGTAATGCTGTGTAGTATAATTTACCATTCTGTGTTATGTTGTGTAGTATAATTTGCCATTCTGTGTTATGTTGTGTAGTATAACTTGCCATTCTGTGTTATGCTGTGTAGTATAATGTGCCATTCTGTGTTATGTTGTATAGTATAATGTGCCATTCTGTGTAATGCTGTGTAGTATAATTTGCCATTCTGTGTTATGTTGTATAGTATAATTTGCCATTCTGTGTTATGTTGTATAGTATAATTTGCCATTCTGTGTTATGTTGTGTAGTATAATTTGCCATTCTGTGTTATGTTGTATAGTATAATTTGCCATTCTGTGTAATGTTGTGTAGTATAACTTGCCATTCTGTGTTATGCTGTGTAGTATAATGTGCCATTCTGTGTAATGCTGTGTAGTATAATTTGCCATTCTGTGTTATGTTGTGTAGTATAATTTGCCATTCTGTGTTATGTTGTGTAGTATAATTTGCCATTCTGTGTTATGTTGTGTAGTATAATTTGCCATTCTGTGTTATGTTGTATAGTATAATTTGCCATTCTGTGTAATGCTGTGTAGTATAATTTGCCATTCTGTGTAATGCTGTGTAGTATAATTTGCCATTCTGTGTTATACTGTGTAGTATAATTTGCCATTCTGTGTCATACGGTTTAGTATAATTTGCCATTCTGTGTTATGCTTACTGAAAGATCTTTAAAACAGCTCTAAAGTTCGTTATTGAGTATTATCAGTGTGTTATTAAGAGTTAGGATGAAGTGTTTAATAAACACTGACTAGATATATCATGGCTCTATATTTTCCTCTCTGACGCAGTAGTCAGTATATTTTTGATATTAATATGAATAATGCATTGAAAATAAACCTTGTTTTAGTATTTTAGATTTTAATGTATATTGACGATTTTACTTTAACAGTCATACGTCATATTTGTTTCTTTTTAATGAATGTCTATCACCATGGTTACATTATACGACGAACACTGAGGGAGACTTTTCCGAAATATTGGTAAATTAGAAGAGATATGTAAGTGGAATTTCAAAGATGTATTTTGGGCAAAATAAAATTATGATAACTGATTAAATTGAATTATTTCTAAAGCTTTCATTTGGAATGTAGCATTGCTGTATACTAATTGTGTTGTTGGTAAACATCTAAGGTAATTACTTAGTCTTTATTCACTGTTTTCGATACATTAGTATACTTAACAGCAAAAGAAACGTGAGAAATGGGTTCACATAAAATAATGATAAAGTATAACCAATACATCCACTGGTTAAATGTCTGAAGACACCAAAACAGAAACACAATATCTTTTTCATTGAATTTGACGTCAAAAGACATGACTTTGTCTGTAATTATCCAGGAAGTAATATGTTGAACTCCTGATAGAGATCAAACAATCACAGACGCACACCGCCTCATCGAATGAACTCCAGGACCTTCCTTGCTGTGAACGTGGCTGGACTGAACCTGTTAAGTCAGTGGGATATACATATGTTACGTCATCGATGTAGTTCTTTGAAATATTATTTACTTTGTGTAAATCCGGCTAATGACGCCAAACACTCATGTTGAAAACCTTGTGGAATTGCTTTAAACAAAAAGACGCTTATTTTTCCTTAATCTTAAAATCTAGCCTTTTTTTAATATCGATTTACTTCTTTCTAGAAATGATAATCTGCCTGTAGACACTAATGTAATGATATTCAGAAATATGAACAATTTCATTAAATGTAACAGTTGATTTTAAAAATACAAGAACTCTGATCAATTTGTTTTTTTAGTTCGGAGAGCAGTGTAACTTTGTAACTTTCCGGTATGTACATAATTATAGATTCATGACCTTAATTTTTGCCAAAAGCTGCAATTGTAATTTGTTTCGGGAAAAGGGCTTAAATAATATTTTGACTTGTGCCCAATCGATGATGATTATGGAAGTAAAATATCAAACCAGAATCAATCTACTTTGATCTTACATTTCATTAAGTGTACTTATTAATTAATATACTAAGAACTACCAAATTGAACCATTGATTGAATATTGTTTTCTCTGTATCAAAATCCTTCAATGAAGCAATATGTCTTTATATAATCATCTTTTGTTGCATGTTCTTTGTTGAAGAATAATTTATTTTTTAATCGTGACTATATCTTTGATATTGTTTTGCCCTACTTCAATCACGTGGTTGATATAAACCTATGTTTGTAGTACTTGTTGCTCTGACGATGTAAGTCTTATATATAAGTACAAATATACAAGGAATGATAACCCTTGGTCATGTTTATTTCTCATCATGTTTCAAATCATAATATGATAACCTTCTGTTATAACAAAACACACGGTGCTTATATACACATTGATTCCCGATACAAACAAGCATTAGCCACCAAGGATGAATCTGTCTCTATAAAGAATGGAGTGTTGAATTTTGTCAATGATTGCACAGAAATGTGAATAGTGCTTTGTAATACAAATATATGATTGGATGGAGTAGAACCAAGTTATGCATTGTTCATCATACAGCTGGTTCGTTCTTCTATGACTAGTCAGTGATACCAATGGTTTGAATTTTGAAATGTAGGCGATTGAGAAAAATCCAAAGTGATCAAAAGAAATATACGAACCAATATTCAGAAAACTGATAATGTTGCTTCTATTCTGTCTATAACTATTTAGCCGATATAATTAGTTTCCCTGTAATAATTTCTCTTTATTTTTTTATCTTTATGATATTTTGTTTTTATAACAGTATTTTGTACATAATTTTTAAAATTATTATTTAAAATCAGCGATAAGCTATAGCCTGTCTATTGTTTAGTTTGTGAAGATTAATTCCGTCTTTCCGTACTTTTCAGGTGAAACTATAATGTTTATTTAATTTGCACATATTACTACATCTTGGTTTTAATTACTTTTCACGTGTAACTATATACCATCTTTAATTACTTTTCACGTGTAACTATATCCCATCTTTAATTACTTTTCACGTGTAACTATATCCCATCTTTAATTACTTTTCACGTGTAAATATATCCTGTTAACGATTATTTTCACGTGTATATCCTGACCATGATGATTTTGCAAGTATACATGTAGTTATCTTTTGTGTAATTATTTTTCACGAGAAGTTATATCTTGTCTTTAATCATGTCACGC